TCGATCTCGCCGCGGTTGAACAAACTTTTTATGACCAGTTACGAGATAGTTGTGACGAGAGAGTACGTAAATTGAATTGGAAAGAAGACCATGACAAGGCTGCTGAGGAAGAACGGAAGCAGTTGCGGATTCTGCTGTTACAGCTTCGCCAAACATGGTATATGAAAGTTCTCTAGTTGTGACCCTCGCGTCTTATTTATACTTCCTGTTTCATCCGTATAGTTGCAACCCACAGATTGGAGTCCAAAATCAAAAATTATTGGGCGGCTCATTTAGAACTATTGGAGAGGTGTTGGATGTTATGTTCAAACACGCCAAAACTGATCTTATCACTGCTGAGCGTGCATTCTTTGCTCACAAAACTCATGAAGCATTTCTGCATGAGTATGTGGTATCTGAGCGTAGTGAGTGGTCAGTCGTTTTCTCCCGAGAACTAACTTGAAATTTTTTTTGAATGTAGTTTCTTGGGCAAACGAGCGAGTGAGGAAGGCGATCGAACCGAAAGTGTCTATCAATTTGAACAGTCTCTCAAGATTAATACTAGTGTATTGACTCAAGCTTCGCAACTCGTCAAGGAAGCAGAAGTAGAACTTGAAGCTCTCATAGAAAAACGTAAAGCCATCGCTACTGCCAAGGTTGCCAAAGACAAACAGCCTGAAGCAGAACCTGGGCAAGGCTCCTCAGCTACCTCGTCGAAGAAAAAGAATGATGGAGATATGACAGAGTCAGAAGACGAGCAAGATGATGACGAGAAGGAAGGCGAAAAAGACCCGCTGGCAGAAGAGCAACAACAGCTTGTCAATCGTCTACGAGGTCTTCTTGAAATAGTGCATAGATCTCTGTACTTGACTGCCTGCTCGCATTATGCACTGAAGCATCGTGGTCGTGGACTGAGTTTACCTTCGGTTGAAAATGATGCTAGTGGTAGTAATAATCGTAATAAGGCTGCCACCTCATCATCTGCACCAAACAATCAAATATCAGAAGAGATCTCGATGGCTTTGCGTGGTTTGGATGATGTACGAGTAGCTGCCATCGTGGCTCAACGCGATCCTATTCAGCGAAGAGATACCGCTGAGACAGAGTATTATGCTCAGGCCGAATCTATCAGACGAAAGGTACGGAGAACATTTCGATTCCGGGAAAATTTTAGTTTGGTTTCTCTGACATTCGGTTGTAGGTGCTTGCTCCCGAAGAAGCTGTTATAAATGCCTTGATTCCTAAAGCACGAACGTTTTTAAATGGCAGTGCTCGTATCGTCGACGAGGACGGTGGTATGTCATCGATACCTCCCAATATGAAAGGTGGCCTTGTAACCGCACCAATTCTCGAAAGAATGGAGCAAGTCTTAGAATTACTCGATGATCAATGGACGGTCATGTCTGACTGGCGTGATCGAGCCAGAGAACATCTTTTGACAGAACTGGAAGACACCAAAGCTGTAAAACGAGACCAGTTTGAGCAGCCAGAAGGTGCAGAAGACGGAGAATACCGCCCGTGCTTGAAAGATTACACCCCACCAGCTCGATCGCAGGGTCATTTGACTCTCAAGGAGGGTGATATCGTTCGTATTATCGATAATGACACGTCTTCGAGGTATTGGAAGGGTGAATGTAAAGGTCAAGTTGGAATTTTTCTGGCAGAACACGTCGAGGAGACTCCTGTAGAGAGGTATGACTTCTGGCTCACATTGTTGCTGAGTTGTTTGGTTCCAACATTCCTTTTCAAACCTTAGGGCGGTCAGAGTAGAAGATGAAATCGTCGCATACAAGGTAAGAGGGGAGCAGGAACATGCAGAAGCTATTTTTCCTGACCGCAGTGGGTTTGCCCCCTCGTCTCTGTTTTGTTTCCTTTTTGTGAATTAAGGGGTATTCATTCGTTTTCTCGTTCGATAGGACACATATTTGAGAGCCATCAATGATAGAAATGTGTTGTTAAGAGGCCCTCTCAACATGGATGTCAAGCAACCTTTCAACGCACATCTCTCCGACCTGGAACGTGAACTTGAGACAACTCGTCGCAAGTTCGTGCTGCAAAGAAAAGCTGAAGCCGAGAAATTCAACATGAGGGCATTAATCACTGAGTTGAAAAATGCAACCAATCGAGTCTCGAGTCCAGCTGAGGTTGAAAAGGCCATGGAAACAGCGAGACGTATGACTGCCATGGTGGATGGTCAGGTCAAGAAGATTGTTGTGTTGCAACGGTAAGTGTTTTTGTGTTGTGACAGAGTAAAGTTAATAACTGACAATTTCTTTGCCACGGAACAGAGAATTGCGAAAACTCGATCGTCTTCTCCAAGCACGCATGGAATATTACCGGTAAAGTCATTCATTTGAGTTGTGTCAAGTTCAACCGAGTGTACCAAAATTTGTTTTGTTAGTCGTTTGCAAGAAATGAGTGATGCAGTCACGCTACCTACTCAGCCAGTTGATCTTGACCTTGCTTTGGAAAAAGCTATCAAAGAAGAACGAGATTTCCAAGCAAAGATTAGTGCTGCAACAAGCAAAAAGCGATACCTCGTCAACTTGCTTGAAGAACAATCCATTCCAAGTTCTGCCGCTGCAGAAGACGAGAGTCTACGAGAGTGCAATGTGTGCAAATCTGAGTATGTGTCTTATGAGCTTACCTGCAATTTTTTTGAGTTTCTGATTCGGTTCTACTTTTCAGCTTTGACCGTGGAATGCTGACTCCTTGTGGCCATTTCTGTTGTGAAGATGTGTGTTGAGTTTTCAAAGGCTGTTTCCGTTTGTTTTTCACTGACAATATTCTACATACTGATTTTGTTTGTAATCCCTAGTGCACAGCCAAATGGACCGTCCCTCGCAAGAAGTGTCCAAATTGCAATCAACATGTACAACCGAAAGAACTTACCAAAGTATCCGTCAAAGCATCCAAACCGTCTGCTTCTGCATCAGCTGATGAGAAGAATGTCGTTCGAGCGGAACCAGTCAATGGATTGTTCTGCGGAACCAGAGTTGCACCACGTGAATTGGTTGATTCGATAAAGGAGCATCACATTCAGGGTGGTTTTGGTACCAAGGTGGGCATTTCTTCGCCCCTATGAGCTGCAGCCTCAGTTATCAATGTCTCCTTACACATCGTTTGCCCAAAAAATAGTTGGATGCCATCATACGTCACATTGTACACATTGGTCAAGAAGATCCCTCTGCCAAGTCACTTATCTTCTCGCAATGGGAAGGTGTACTTGAGATATTAGGTCGTGGTCTCACAAAGAACAAGATTGGGTTTGTTAAGTTAGAAGGAACACGAAAGAAAGGAGAGGTATGTGACCTTGCGATGAAGTATTAGTGTAATGAAGCAGCCAAGCTTCAAGTCTGATCATCTTGACCATTATTAGGCTGCAATCAAGTTTCGCGAGAATGACGATGTCAAAGTTTTCATGTTGAACTCGAGATCTCAAAGCGCTGGGCTTACTTTAGTAGCAGTATGGGGATCTTTCGCGTTCGTAGCTTTCGTGTCGAACTGATCCAAACTGACTTTGTGTCTTTAGGCTACAAATGTATTCTTGGTTGAACCTCTGATTGATCCCTCCTTGGAATTGCAAGGTTTGTTTAGTAATAAAATTCACTAAATTTCAGGCTTGCTTTTCAGATTCTGACCCTTGTTTTCTCCAATTCTAGCAATCAATCGAGTACATCGTATTGGCCAAACCAAGAACACTACAGTTTGGAGATATATTGTTCTTGGAACGGTAGAAGAAAAAGTCTTCTTCAAACGGAGCGAACAAAGGCAGCGAAACGAGAATCTTGTCTCTGCCGTCCGTCCCACTGAGAAATTCTCTTCTGCCAAGATGGGTGGTGGCGAAGTGATTCTCGACGATACTCTCAAGTAAGTTTCGAACTACCTTACATTTAGAATAGCATTGCAATGATCTCACTTTGGATTGTCGTATATTTTAAGATGGTTCTTCTTTGAGAGTGATGCAAGACAAGAAGAAAAGGGCGAGACTTTTAACGTATCAGACTTGAATCTTTCCGGAGGCCAACAGAATGTTGATACCGCTGCTGTCAATACGAAGAAGGAAGAAGAAGATGTACATATGAATGGGGCAATGGAAGAAATAGATCCACCACTATTGACCAAGAAGCAAATATTAGGTGCAAATGGAGAAACAAAGGCCAAAGAAGAAGACGTAGCAGTAAAAGGAAGCCAAGAGAGCATTATAGATTGTACAATGTCAAGTAAGAGACAAGGAAGCAAAGGGTGATGTTTGCGTAGCTTAATTCAACCAACACCCTTTTCTTGGTAGGCGATGCACATACAGATAGTGAGCATGAAGAATCGTGATTAGAGAAAATGTAGGAGTGTGTTGGTGTAGATCATTAGCCAAGAAATAGAAGACATTAGACAAATGCACGGCAAAACGAGGGAAAGGCTCAAAGAACACCTTTACAAGATCTCGTGTTTTAAAGCAGGCTTGCCAGTAAGAAACGCGTCTGGGACCGCTTGATTTGTTGCTTTTAGTTGGCTGCCCTCTGTATTTGTCGGTTTGAAAACTTTGTATGTCATCATCACGTCGTGTGATGACTGATTGGCGTGAACAAAGAGGCGATTCGCGGTATGTTTTATGAGCGTGGTGGTAGAAATCACGTTCCGAATATGTGTGTTCTCTGAGTTGATTTGGTGTTCTGTATCTGCAACTGGCACCTTTCAATCCACACACTCCACTACCAATCCATTGAAGCTGTTTGCCGTCCCAAGTAGACAAAGGGAAGGAGCATCGAGAGCCTGTATTCATTCAGATCATCTAGCAATCAGTATCGAGCGGTCTTGAATTGCCGTCTAGGAAGCAATTGCCCAGTTGACAAGAGCAAGAAACGTCGTGTACACGTTGGTTGTTTGCCGAGGGTGGATTACACGGACCCTACATTATTATATATAATAGCTGGTGAATATAGTATCCCTACTGCTGCTGCGTCGTCTTTCGGCAGTAGGCCTGGACTGTGGCCTCCCATTTCGAATCTAAAACGACAAGGGCCATGAATCTCGACCTCTCCATACCAAGCAAGCCGAAGGGAATCCGCTTTGCATATCTAGAATGGGAGGTAAGCAAACATATGCATACACAGAACTGGCCTCCATCCCTGTTGAAAGGGGATTGTTTTCACATGCGCTGTCTTTGGGGGTCGACGAAATTATGACCAAAATTTACAGCAACAACCCCCACTATGGGACTGACCTCATCGCTCATATGATACATCTTGGAATTCGAAAACATATCGCATATATTCCTTTTTCGTTTGCCCACTCCATCTCTGCCCTGTCCTTTTTAGCTCGCATCCGACACCAGTCATGCAACGAATGGTGAAGATACTTCGGCCGTGAGTGATGATGGATTTGAATCCACTGCATCTACAAACAGTCTTCTGGCCAATACTACTATTACATTCAAGCCTTTGCACCCTCCGTTGCCGCAACATTTGACGACTCATCAGGAAACTCAACTGACAGAACAGGTTTTGGATTTATATAATGTAAGGCAATCAGATCCCGAACCCCATCAGAGACGCCGCAGATTCGCAACAGTCGCTTTTCGCTACTCGTAAGAAACCCTCAATCTGACTTCGAGGCATTTTTGTATATTAGACTCTGAGACCGCGAGACGAGTTTAAGACTGCTAGAATGGGATTTCTGGAAAAGCTACAGGGAATTCTGGATAACACCTGGCCAGATCATTCGATAACAGCCTATTTATTTGGGTAATTTCTACATAGTGGAGCATTTCAAACACATGTTCGGTGACTGTGACTCCTTTTCACTAGATCGTCAATAAACGGATTAGGAACCGAATCTAGTGATGTCGATATATGTCTAGTAACGCCATGGGAAGATTTAGAGAATGGAGTGGCCAATGTACATGTGTTTGCAAATGCGATGAGAAGGAGTAAGAGGTGCATCGAAGGCTAGTTTTCGACAAAATGACTCACACACTGGCTTTCCTATAGATAAAATGCAAAACGTATATACGATTAGTAAAGCAAAAGTGCCTATATGCAAATTTTATGATCCTATTTTGTAAGTTCCACCTGGACTTGATTTTCCTCCTTCACCTTCTCACCACTACTTTGGCATCCAGTAATGTAAATTGTGACGTCAACATAAATAATACCCTCGCATTAAGGAATACCGAATTCATCAAAGCATATGTCGAATTGGATGACAGAGTGAGACCGCTGCTGCTGGTTCTCAAACATTGGACTAAGCAGAGAGATCTCAATGATGGTAGTTGCCAGAATCTTTTAGTGTACTGCACAACGTCTAGACCTAATTTATAACATTACCAATAGCTGTAAAAGGCGGAACGCTGAGTAGTTATTGTTGGGTGCAAATGGTAGGACAGAGCTCGAGGTTATCTAAATTTTCCCACGACCAGGCTGACAATTCTTTACTTATTGCAGTTTCTCAACTTTTTACAAACTCGCAATCCCCCTATACTGCCGTCACTGCAAAAATTATATCTGGATCAACTACGAAATGGGACTGCAGGTCCACCCAAAATGGAAGATGGTGTAGACTGCTCTTTTTATTCCGACCTCGACTCTCTCAAAGATTTTGGTCATGCAAACACCGAGTCGTTGGGAGCACTGCTATATACCTTCTTCCGTAAATTTGCTGTAGAGTTTGATTACGATACCCATGTGATATCAGTCAGATGTGGATGCTATCTGACAAAGGAAGAAAAGGGCTGGAATATGGAGATGGACCGAATGTGTAGGCACCTGTGTATAGAAGAACCATTCACCACCACACGAAATCTGGCAAACTCGGCTGATGCCACTACTGTAGTTGGATTACGATGGGAATTCGAGACCGCAGCTCATATACTGTCGACGTCTGTCGATTTGGATGCAGTGTGTCAAAAGTATACTCCGAAAATAAGTAGTAGGTCACCGATGACATACTCGACTGATGTATATGGAAATGGCATAATTGTCTCGTCTGATGCCAACGGAATGCTCCCAGCTGCAGCATTGAATGGAAATGGACCACATAAAATGAATGGTACGAACGGCGGTCACTATAGTAACGGTAGTGGCAAGTCCAGAGGTGGTCAATCAAATAATTGGAGGAATAATAATCGAAACTACCATTCATCCAATAACGGATACGGCTATTCCTCTTATCCCTCATCATACTATAATTCCAACAGTTATAATTTCTCACAGCAGCAATCGTATGCGGTGTCGTATTCTTCTAGGCAGGGCATGTCACCGTCAACATCTTCACAAGGTGGATTTGAGTCAGGCACTTCACCAGATCTGCCAAACTCTCCAATGGAAGATCGTCGAAATGCTGCTACGAATACAGAGAGGAGAGTCTTCCCAGCCGAGTATCATGGAACGAGTAATTCCAACGACGAGGGGCGACAACCAAAAGCTCTTTCTCAACCTCGTGAATACCCAGAATACAATGAACGAGTATTCGATGAGTTTGGTATTAGAGATTATGGTGTCAAGGATTACCGGTCTACTAATGGATATCATGGTGGTGCAAAGTCAAATCATGACAGAAGGTATGAAACACAAAAACCACCTACACAACCTCAGCCGCATCATCAACAGCAGCAGCAGCGTCAGCGTTCTTCATCATCTCAACATACACAACAACAGCAGCACCAACAAAACCGAAATCACGATAGACAAGACAGACGAAATTATTCGTCGAGTCCGGTACCAGTCGTAGCTTTAGAACACAGGGGCACTCAGACTGGTGGATTAGGAATGCCACCTAGTCGTCCACCTCTAGTAAATGGTATAACGAGTCCTACTTTGGCTGCTGGTGTATCTCGAGTTGATGGCAGGTCTGAGTTTGTGATGAGGGATGAGGTGAGAGAATCCGCAACACAGACGCCATCATCTCCGTCTATATCTGCTAGTTTAGGACGAACCTCTCCTGCAGTACTACCAACATCGAGCCTGCCACTTCATCATCAAACTCATACTTCTACTGCCTTTCTATCGTCATCCATGTCCTCTACGGCATCGTCTGCATCGTCGTCGTCAGCTACACCAAATCCGCACCAATGGGCTGATGTAAGGCAAGAAAGAAGAGCTTCAGCGCCACAACATTCCATGGATGTAGTAGCAATACCACCGAGTCCCGATACCTATGCTTCCGCTACAACGACGTCTAGTGAGTCTCCTCCACCGATAGAAGATTCTCCGTGTCCATCGCCGGAAGATAATAATATTGATGCACCTTCTGATCAACCGAAACGAAAGGGTAAAGCGATGAAAAAGGGAGTCAAAATATGGTCAAATTCTTCTCAACGAGAAGCCAAGCAACCTTTTAATGTGTGGCCCACGTTACCGGAATCTAATGAGGATGGAAGTAATAGTGGTGGCAGCAGTCAATTTGGTGGTCGGCCTAATAGCAGTCATTCCACCACGCGATCTCGTCGACATGAGATTAGAGATCATCATCGACACCCACATCAGAATAGTGGGCATCCTGGTCGTGGTGATGATGCTGGAAATCGCAAGAGATCTTCTTCCGTCCCACCGTCTCAAAGTCCAAGGGATCCATCATGGACGTTGGCCAATAGTGCTGGCTATGTATCTGGGTCGGTAACTCCTGCTGGATTCTCGACACCCCCTTTAGCACCGATTCTACCAAGGCCAGAATCATATCGGGACGCATTGGAACGAGGCCGATATGCCGAAATGGTATCCAGTAATATTGGTAGCAATAGTAATACTGCTGTAGTAGGAAACATCGTACCAACCTCTGAGAGCTTCGCTTTGGACGAAGAAACAGTAGCAGCTCCAGTGGCATCGGATCGATCTAATGCACGATGGAATGGTATATTCAACAACAGCAATAGTAGCAACGGTAGCACTAGTGCTTCAAACCCATCTGGTGGTAATGCTAGAAGGAATGGAGGCTCTTCCTATCGTGGCACGAGAGGTGGCGGGGTGAGTGCTTTTGGCTTCACCTTGGAATTTGTCTTTTTACTCAAATTGGTTTCTAACTATATATTTCTCAGAGAGGGAAAGGTGGCAAATCTAGAGGAGGAGGGTCACATCAACAGCAGCAGCAACATCAAAATGGTAACGGACCCCATATTGCAGTTGCTCCCTCGCCATCAACCTCCACAAGAACGGAGCAATCTCGTTCTCCACAGCCGCTACTAGCTGCTTCTCAGCCTCTTATGGTACGGTCTAGTCGTGACAGGACAGTATCAGAGTCTGCCGTGTTGTCTGAAGCCCATCATGGTGCAAACACATACCATCACTTCCATCAATCCCATCTCCCACATGTCATGCACATTGCTGCACAGCATCCTGAATCGACCATATAGCATCAGCAAGTGGCAACAACGACGAGACAACCCAAATGAACCAAACGGGACAATTGTATGGCTAGATGGCAATAACCAAAGCATTCCCAGCGACAATAACAACAATCTGCTTGGTAGAGATGAACTCATTATATTGCTTTTTTCGCTTTTGTTGTGGTCTTGAGTATTTTTTTAGCGTGTCTATATGTGTGTGACCGTCGTGAAACCAACAAACATATGCTTTAACAAATCTTCCTAGTAATTCTAAACAAATAGTGTACAACAATATACTCTCATCACGAATCACGAATTGGAAGCAGCTAGCGTCTTCGTTTCCTAGATTTTGGTGACATGATATGCTGTATGAATTGCGGCGAGTCTCGCATGAAAGCGTGTTTAAAGAGGAGGAACGACGGTTTTGAGGGCCGGAACAGTGAATTCATTACATGAAAAGCACATGTCTTCCCCTACTTTGCCCTGTTCACTACGGGACACTCGTCCTTTTTTTTTGGCATATTTCAACACATCCATAAGATATTTGATGCTTACAAGGAATAGAACAGTCAAGAACTAGACATCTTACCGTAGACAGACACCAGTCTGGTTCCGCTACGTTTTTATTAAGGTGCGTAACTAGATGTAACCCTCGTCACTTATACAGAATTACTGACTAGTGTTGTAACAAGCAGATAAAGGCGTCCATACAAGGCAATTTCGCAGAAATAGTTTATAGATCAGCTTCCAACCACTACAGTGCATCCTCCTCTTGTAAAGATCTAGTGGCAACACTCTCTTCTCTGCCAACATCAACTCTGAAAAAATCCAAAGATTGTCATGCAGACCAGAACAGACCAGACTCCAGCTAGGAACACTAGGCTGCAGCAACGCAAGCGAGAAGCTGCTGACGTACAGCCCAGCAGGGTTGCAAATATTAGTCCCATCACAGCTCTAAATCCCAAAGAAGCCGACTTTTGGAAACAAGAAGCACCTGCACCACCACCTCCTCCTTCTACCAATAAAAAGCATAGTCATGGTACTCGACATCACCAAAGGCCTGGAACTGTGCCACCTGGCAGTCTCGCTACTCCATCATCAAGTACTGGACGTGGAAAGCAAACCCTATTCAAGACTGCATTGAAAAGTCCTGGTGGTGGTGATGATTGTGGCATGGGACTCTTGCCTGCTAGTACGCCTATTGGTAATGACACGCTAGGCAATTGTCTCGCTCGACTATCGCCGACTCCGATGCACCGTGCCAACAATACAGATCTAGGAAATACTAGTAATAGTAGTGGTGCTAGTCACTACAACGACAAGTCAATGGAATTGGTCGCCAAATCACATAGTGAAGAAGAGAATATGGTATTGGCTGGTGTTCCTAGTAGTACAAGAACCGGGTTTGATGGCATCAACAAGAAACGTAAAGTCGCTGAAAGTCCGCTGGTTGTCCCCACTGCCACTGCCAGTGAAGATGATGGCAACGAAAGAAATAATAATATTAGAAGGAATAAGAGAGTGTTGAATAGGACGCCACAACGAGGTGGTAAAGCAGATGAGATGGTAACTTTGCCTGGTAACGACAACAGCAACGACAACAATAGTGACAGGCCGCCTCAGCAATTCTTGATGGAAATATCACCCGGGCCTGTAAAACCACTAGTTAAGCCCATTCCAGTATCTCCGGTTAGATTCAATGTCGGTGGTGCGCTACGATCATCACCTCGTCGTGCTGCGTCGAGTACTCCCACTACCACAGCACCAGATATGGCACCACTAAAACGTACTGCCAGTAAAATCGGAACGAGTCTTGATAATATGTTTGATGATAACAAGCCTTCTCCGAACGATAACACCAATATCAAAAGTGGTATAAAGGACATTGCATACGCCACTTATAGTCTACCACAATCACCACAGCAGCAAATTGAACCCAGACTACCACCTGCACGAAGCCAGCCTGGATCAGCCTTTACGTCATGGAGATCACCTATGAAGAAAATAGATCCTGAAGACGAAGACTTTTGGACGTCGCCTCGAACTAGAGCTCGCGTTGGGATACCTGGTATGCCTGGAACTACCATGTCACCAGCAGTACGTGCACCTGCAGCCATAGCAGCAGCAGCACCACTTTATCGCCCACAACCAGTTGGCTTGGATGAATCTGTCACATCCATGAATATGTTGAATGTATCTGGAGCTGGGAAGGCCCCTCCACCTAGAAACTCTGGTGCAAAAGTGCTGTTTGGTCTAGGCGGTAAACCACCCCTGGGTGCAGGAAATCAACAAGACTTGATTGTCAGCACGCCACGAGGTGTAAGAAGGATTTCACGATCAATGGAGAAGGCCGTCATCCAAACTCCAGCCAAACCTGGTCCAGAGACGTTTATGGGAGAAGATGGACACGTCATTTATCGTGTTGATACTGAAAGACGTAACATAGTTTCGGCACTATCAGATGAAGACTCGATGGACGTTGACGAAGAGACTGACTTGTCGTATACGAACGCATCTTCGGCTCGATCGTCTCCACATACACTACCTGAAGGCGAGGTCCTGCTCAGGGAGGCTTTTGCACAGGTCTTTAGGTATGCGATGAGAAGAGGCATAGTTGGAGAAATAATATCAGCATTGTGTGTATGTAAGGCTATCAGAGATGCTGGTGTACCAGTCATATGGGAAGCTCCACGATTCAGATCGCTCGGTGGGGTATACATGATGTTTAAGGTACGTTCTACGACTTATCGTCAAGTCTCTTAAACGACCAATTCAACACAGACTTCTAATGCTCCATATTCACAAACTTTAGGTGGTTAGCAAAAACACCTACTCTGCCAAACAACCAAAGAAATTCTTGTTCCCTGAGCCTAACAATGTTAGTAATAGTAATGGTGAACCACAACCAGCCAACGAATCAGACGTCACATCGTCAGATTCTGAAATCACTCAGGCTGCCAAGTATCCACACTTGTCCACGGATTATACTCGCTTCCTCACATCCTTCACCTTCAGAGCCGTAAATGCTCAAGACTTTAAACATCCCGTGGCTTTTGACGTTAGTGGATTCGTAGCAGATACTTTTGCCAATCTGACTAGCGTATCTGTATCTGGTGCAGCCGAATGGCTCGACGATCACTTTTTGTATCAGTTTACAAAAGTGGCTCGAGTACGCAACCAACTCAAGTCCTTATCTTTGAGTGGTACCAATAAGATGTCTACTACTGGCTTGAGTCGTGTATTGTATAGATTCTCTCAGTTAACGGAACTCCAGCTTGAGTATCTTGTCCCACTAAATGATGAAATTCTCCAGTTACTGGGTCGAGAACTGAAGTTGCTCAAAACTCTCAAGCTTCGAGCTGTCTATAATGTCACACATGAGGGCGTCAATGGTATTTTGGACTATGCTAAAGAGTTGACTTCAATCGACATTGCTAGTTGTCCGAGTGTCGGAGATGAAATTTTTGGATCACTCGCAAAATTGCAAGCCCGTCAAGGAAATGGTAGTAGCACCCATAATAGTAGCAATAGTGGCCCTAGCAGTTGCAGTGGTGTCCTTGGTGGTTTGGTAGGAATCCCAGCAATCACATCTTCACCACACAAACAACTAGGTCTTGTATCCCTCTGTATTGCGAACCCTAGTGCTGAAATGTCCGATACTGGTCTTATAAACTTTATAACAACAACGCCGCTACCAAGGTTGACTCACTTGGATGTGGCCAACTCGCGACAAATCAATGATACCAGTTTGGAACGTATAGCTCAAGCTGTTGGTGGTACACTCCAAACTCTGTCTATAAGAGAATGTGGTAACGTCACAAAGAAGGGGTTGAATAAGGCATACAAGTATTTTGCCAAACTAGAAGGGATAGATGTATCGTTATGTGATGGTCTTGGCTTGTCCAATAGTGGTGTAGGTGCTGGTGAACAAGCTGTAGCCATCAAGGATCTTTCAAAGGAGATTAGGAAACGGCTCGGACGTCATGTTTGGATACGCGCTCAATCTATATCACGATAGTGATTTATATGTATAACGGGTGCATGCTGCGGTGAGGTGTATATGTTTTGGGAGGCACGTGTAATATTATTCTACTACTTTTTTTTGTAAATAACTTTCAGCAACCAGCAAACTAGCAATGATTTATTAAGATTTTCTATTTTGTTCAAATATCATCGTTATAAAATGCAAAGCTAAAAGGTTTCGAGTCTTGTTGTGATTGTTGGATTTGAGTCCAAGTACTAGTTGTGTTTGCTGTTGACGGTTGCTGTTGTGTTTTGCCTTCATGCGTTGACTCGGATAGCACAAGATCAGGTCGTGACGATACCAAAGCCTGCTTCAAATCACTGTACAAGTCTTGGCCACTATATCCTGAAACCTGTTCTGGATTAGTTTCCAACCAATCCAGTACTTTTGGTAATGCATATGAGGATGTGAAGTTTTGCGTTAAGGCGATTGATGGCTCGAGGTTTACTACCAGGTGAAACCATCCTATGTAATTTGCGTGGTGGTTGTGAGTTAAGATAGCATGAAGGGAGGAAAGCGAAAGGACGATGATTACCATAAGGAACAAAAATGACTTCTCCTGCACGACAGACACATTCTATTGGTTTAACTGCAGAGGTGTCGTTTTGCCGAGAGTAGAAGTTGACAAACCTTTCAAGTACGGGAAGAGTTTGAGGAGACGGTGGAAGACGATGACAGGCAAAAAAAACCACTGATCTTCAGAATCGATTCTCGAGAGGAGATACCGAATCTCACTCACCATTCAGTCACAGACAACGGTGACGTTACTTCAGAGCCATCTTCTGAAAGGTAGACACCTGGAGGTAGAGTGCCTGGTGGATACCTAAATTACACTCGTATGTTAACACTGTCCTAAATCATTTGATCAATGATCAAAACCTTACATGATCCATTTCTTGCTTCCTTTAATCACTGCGTTATAGGCTGAGGTAGAGTTTGGATCCAAATGGAATGTTGAGCCTGGCAAACGAAAAACAAACATGTTCGAATCGTTGGAGAGACTGCAAAAAAGATATTACGATGTTGAACTACCTGATCTGGTTGGACCAACAATCAGCCACCTGTAATCTGGCCTTTTGTCACCAAGGAGAGCAAGCATGTCCTCTTGAAAGTATGGAGGGACTGTAAAGTCCTGCGTCAAGGATGACGAGTCGCCGAACTTCTTATCGAAAAGATACTACGATAGGAAGACGGGGGTTTTTTGTGAGTTGGGACGTAGGAAGCCAAAAAATCACCAAATGTTGCTTACCAATGGCGCTTCCTCATGACACTGACGGGCATAGTTCAGGTACTCGTTCATAGTTAAGTCTATAGCTTCAGCACGAAAGGTCCTTTCTCCACACTGCTTTAAGAGATACTCTTCATTCCATTTCTCAAATGCTGGCCATTTGGTGACAATGTCAGTTATTATGACTGGTTTGTTTGGTATGCCGTATTCTGCAATGAACGAGTCTAGAGACAGACACGATCTACGGTCAATGTTTTCTACATTTACACCACACAATCGATCAAGTGGGACAGTGTTATAAAAGTGTGGAAGGTATAGCACGTCAGAGTAGATTCCACGTAAGCGAATCGGTCGTGGTTCTGCGACATGCGCAGCTGATGATGTGGCATAGGTATAAAGCCAAGTAGATTTAAAATTGAGACCGCCTTTCGAACCAAAATCTCGGGTATACATGCTTCGCCATAGATCATCGTTCCGAGACTAGTGGGACGTTGAGAAGAAGAGTGAGTCAGATCATCATGTTTCTTAAAACTTTAAAGACAGCCCGAACAACGAGTAAGTCCACGATGTGCATACGAAAGCATAGAGCATTTGACTGCATTGTGATAATCTGCATAGATCTCGAGCACTGAGATGCAATTGTGCGAGAAATGTGACGAGTAGCTCGTCTGGCAAACGATGGAGCCTTCCAAGTCCAGTCGTTCTCTTTTCAGTATCATCCTTGGAAGCCAAATAGAGATTTCCCAGTGGCAAGATGTTGAAGGGATGTGGAATTGTTGCGAGTTTTAGATGATTTGCTGCTTTGATGACGGTTTTTTGTTTCTTGTGTTTACTAGATCCCGAGATGGTAGAGCCCATTCTTTTCTTCCTAGAGAGTTCCTGTCCAGTCATGATGAATTTGTACGGGAGTGTCTCTAATTTGGAAATGCGTCAAAATCGCTCTTTTTCGTCAACAGAAAATAATAACATAAGCTTCATTTTGTTCATAATAAGGGCAAGTAATTCAGGCAATGAGTAGCTCACAGACGTGTCTGAAAAGGGCAGTATCTTCTCTCTTTCTCCCTGTAGGTCCTAGTTTAGGTGTCAAGCTGGCGCAACATACAATGTCGACGAGCACGGTGCATGCCACCAAGAGGAATGGACGACCTCCTATACTGAAGCCAAATCCTTCTCCTGTATCGATATCACCATCGCCAGACATGGACTTGGAGGCTCCACTATTGCAGACAGTGTCCAATCCCTCGACATTAAATCGTAAAAAACGTAGACTTGTAAAACAGATGCATCAGCAGCCACACCCTGTGAGTCAATTGACCGCAGTCAAATATGATCATCGCAGTACTGGTAGTAGCCTGTTAGGAATGTCGTTGCCTGCGCCCATATCAAGTGCTGCTTCTCGAGAACAGGCTTTGGAGTACTTGACGGAATGGCTGGGAGAACGACCAACTCACGAAACTGTTTGGGACATTCTACTCGCGAAAATGCCCAGAACTCCTTCTGCACCACCATTGGCTGATTTGCCGGATCCTGTATACTCGTACCTAATATTCTTGATGACTCCCAGCCCCGCCACTATCGCAACTCCAGGAAACGGGGCACTCATGGCCCAGCATCGAGAGCGCATAGAACGATTCATTAGAGCTAGATATGGTGAGCTGGTCATGAAAACTGGTCAAGACGAGGACCTAATATTGAGCTCGAGTCCACAGGGTATGAACTTTGCTCAAGTTATCAAATACATAGATGATCGCATCGCCAGAAGGCGTAAACCGACTCGAAGGAGTGTAATTGTCCTGCTGTCTCTCATGGCAAAGGCTGACGATCTAGAAAACCTTACTCGCTTGCTCGAAACCTGCCAAACAAAATACAAGATAAAATCTATTGGCACTACAGTGGCTCCTGCTTTCAACGCATGTATGAAAGCGAAGAGAGTGGACTTGGCTTACTCTCTTCTTGTAAAGCACTATCCGCTCCATGACCCGGCAGACTGTGATTCCGACATGGTTAATAGGAGCTTCGAATCTTTGGTTCAAGAAAGTGTAGTTGCCGCTGAAATGGTATTTGAAAACATAAACCCTCGAATAAAAGGACACTCCACACGGCTATTCAGACTCTATGATGCTTTACGAAGGAATCGCAGAGAAGAAGAAGCTGTAGAGCTGTATAAGAAACATCATTCCGATCAACCCATGCCACATGAACTGTACACTAGGCTCATAAAGGATGTGGCTTCTTTAGGTGATGTGACGCTTCTCATTGAAGTCTGGCGCAGGGTGGTATCTCATCTCTCGCGCGAAGAGATACTAGAAGTAGAAGGAGGAGCCATGTTGGCTGCAGTATGTAAAGCCTTCTGTACTTGTAAACGACTCGATCTAGCATTACGGCTCTTGCAAGACCCGTCTGCCAAGTCTCATATAGGACACCAAGCAGGATATCCGCCCATCATAGCGAAGATAGCTTTAGAGGATGCGGGTGTGGCCTTACAAATCTCACTTATCCTGATGGAAGATGATATTGTCAGGTTGGAATTGTGGAATCATATCATAGCATCCATCGTTAAAAAATATGCAGATAACAATGACCCGAAAGCTGCTGAATATTCGGTCAGTGCCGTCTACAAACTTGCTGAACAGAAGATGGTCAATTGGAGGATTGACATGGTGACCCTGGTCCATCTAGCAAGATCTTACTCTTCACCTCGGAAAATTGGTGACATTGAACGAATATGGCAATTATGCCAATTCGCATTGAACCATCCCGACGATCGTTTGAACTCGTGGGGTACTTGCATGCTGCTCGACACTATCGGATTTTGTAAAATAGGAGGATATGTTGAAGCATTCATGGCTGAATTGATAAGACTAGATAAGGCCCATCCAGAATATGGAGTCCTCGTCGTGAATGTATGGAATTCGTATGTTGAGGCTCTACATCGTTGTGGAATGCACGATAAGGCTGCACAGGTTCTCATGGAAACCATGCCCAAATTTAAGATAAGGGCAGAAACGAAGACTTTTATTACTATGCTCGAGCCATTGGATAGGGACGGGAAGTGGGCTCTTTGGCAAAAGTGTGTTGACCATATGATGGACGAGTATCCTGCAGTGTACGACCAAATTCATTCCGAGAATCGTTATCTATTGCGAGGGCCAAACCATAATAGTTAAATAATAATAACCATATGCTGCTGCTTGCTGTAATATATATATATAATTTAACACTGCAATTTTGGAACAAAGGCGATGATGCAATCGGACGCATACACTGATACGGAGGGAGAATGCGATTAGCTCTGCATGTAGCTCTGGTCGTAGTTCAGCTATGCACTATGAACTCGCAGCGAAAGAGTCGACACCAAACACGAAACATCTAGAGAACTTGGCCAAGTTCAGGCTGTTTGCACATAGGTATTTATAATATTCTAGATTCCTTTAATAGATGTCCCTCATCTCTATTCCTGTCGATGAGCAAGATCAATTCGAAAATGTTTCCCTCCAGCTGGACAAGCTCTCAACGCTCTTACTAACAGCTAATAAAAAAGGAGTAAATTATCCTATTCTGGACTCTATTGAACGGATCTTTCAGCTATCTATTGAAAATGAACCAACCTATGGCGTGGAGGCCAACATTGCCATGACAAAATTGTCCAAGATCTCTATAAACTGGCTCGTATCGAATCTGAGTCGTGCCGATTCTGATGAAGATCTGGAACGTTTGGGATCCATGATCTCGAATCTGACTGGACGTGGTGGTGAGTTGGAGGAGTGATGTTTTTTTTTGTCTGCGCTGATCATATTTGATCTTAAACCTTTGAAAATGCTACGATACCACCGCACGATTCTTATAGCGCTATTTCTTTGTATTAGGGAGAGGAGCCATAACGAGAGAATGGAAGTTTAAAGGATTCTCACTACAAATACGAGAGCCTTCGTTTGTGGATGCATCTATAGGTCACCAGACATGGGGCTCTGAGACATTGCTCTGTAATTTAATTCAAGATCAAACTATAGACGTTGCTGGACACTCTGTGCTGGAATTAGGCTGTGGTACCGCAATAGCTGGTCTGGTATCGGCTTGTGTGGGAGCTTCCAAGGTCTTGCTCACTGATTACCATGAGGGCGTACTAGAGAATTGTGAACGAAACATACTACTCAATGAAATCGACAACGTCAGTGTTATGAAACTAGATTGGACATCACCACCACTGGATTTTGTAGAGACATTTGACGTTGTGATTGTCGGTGATTGTATATACGATCTAGAACCCGCTCTCTTGGTGCCAGCAATAGCCAAGCCATACTTGAAATCCGATGGTGTCTTTTACGTAGTCTTGCCTATGAGGCTGTCGTTTAGTAAGGAAATAGCAGCATTTGAGGATGCCATGACAGTGAACGCGTGGAAGCTTGTCGAATCAAGAGCGATGAGTCGTGAGGGTGACGAATTAAGTTATAAATATTATAAATTCATACTGTAAGCTGAGCTCTGAACTCCTGCTGGATCAGATTATCTATTTAGGTTACAACACGATATCATAGATTAGAGCCCTAGAAAATATACTCATAGATTAGATAAAGATAACATAACAATAGAATTAATAGAAACGTATCTAAAACATTCACAGTAAACGAAGCAAATGTGATCAAACAGCGGAACGCTAGTCAAACTCGGCTTCCTGCGCGATTTTAACGTGCTTCCTTCGCGATTACGCGTCCTCAATGAACTCCAATTGTCAGAATCCTCGTAAATCTCTCTTGATATGGTTGTAGCTGATCGCTGCCAACACAACTTCTTCAGAACAAGGCGACACACCTTTTTCAACAAAAGGCCCAGCATTTTATGAAATAGGAAAAGCACATCCAGTCATGGCCGACATATATACCGCTGCATCAGGTATGTCCTTTGTCTCACGAACAATGTTGATGCTTAACGTCAAAAATCAGAGCAAAATCAAGCCCAAAATATGCAATGTAGCAATGTTTAAAGCTTTATAAAAATAACTTCTGATTAGATCGTCCTGTAGAGATCAAGACCAAAATAATATGTACTATTGGTAAGGCTCTCCTCTCTCTCTTCTTGTCAGGGCTTCATGCACCATATGGACATCAAAATTGAATCTAATCTTTTGGACATTTCAAGGTCCAAAAACCCAGTCGGTCGAGATGCTTGGAAAGCTTGTAGATGCTGGCATGAATGTTGTCCGCATGAACTTTTCTCATGGAACTCATGAAGTGGGTTTGGAACTTGTCAATTGTCAAGAATGTCTTTTGAGTTTCGGGGGCTGTCCAGATCTGAACGATACAAACCTTCCTTTTATAGTACCACTTGAAAACAATCAACAATGTACGCGAGTTTGCCGCTTCTCAAAAGGAAAAGAAGCCTGTTGCCATCATGTTGGATACCAAGGGGCCAGAAATTCGGTATGACCCGTCAAAACACTAAAAATTATTTTTCAAGATATTGAGCCGTCAAGTGTTTCTTTTGTCTGTCAAAGCAGTTAACGTCATGAACCTGCTTTTAAATATTTTCTAGAACTGGAAAGCTGGTTGGTGGCACAGACAAGAAACTGGTAGCAGGAGCTACCTTCACCTTCCACAACGACGACACTATAATCGGTGACGAAACCCAAGTGTCAACTTCCTACAAATCTCTTTGTACCTCCGTACGTGCCGGTGATCGAATCCTAGTCGACGATGGTCTTATCGGTATGCAAGTCATATCCACAAACCACGAAACCGGCCATGTCGTCTGCATCATTGAAAACGGTGGTCTCCTCGGTGAAACAAAGGGTGTTAACTTGCCTGGTATCACTGTCGACCTACCTGCCATCACGGAAAAGGATGCAGGTGACATCATGTTTGGTGTCAAGAATGGAATTGATTTCATTGCTGCCAGTTTTATTCGAAAAGCTGCTGATGTACATGAAATTCGAAAGCTGATTGTGGGACAGAATATCAAGATTATATCAAAGATTGAAAGTCAAGAGGGCCTTGATAACTTTGATGAAATCTTGGCTGCTTCTGATGGTATTATGGTCGCTCGAGGTGATTTGGGTGTGGAAGTTCCTGTTGAAACAGGTTAGTGTTTATCCTCCGTTTATTTGCTCGTCGCCTATTATGAGCCTATTGTGATTACTTTAAATTGTTGATTGAACTACATGGTTCTGTCAAATGCATTTCACTGACGTCAAACTATAGTTGCTCGATACCAAAAGATGATGATTCGCAAATGTAATTTTGCTGGAAAGCCTGTCATCACTGCCACGCAAATGCTGGAATCTGTAAGTCTCCTTCCTTTCTTTCGCTGTTTGATATGATGCAACAAAGTTCGTCACTTTTCTAGCTATTAGACCCTCATTCCATCTTTGTCATTTGACTAGATGATTCTGAACCCACGTCCTACTCGTGCTGAAGCTACTGATGTAGCTAACGCTGTCTTGGATGGTTCTGACTGTGTCATGTTGTCTGGCGAAACTGCTAAAGGCTCACATCCCATCGCGGCAGTCGAAATGATGTTCAAGATTTGTCGTGAAGCTGAAGCCGACATCAACTATTCGGAATTATATCCCACTCTGCGACGTCAAATCCGTCTGCCCATCTCCATCTCTGAAGCTGTTGCATCTAGTGCAGGTGAGTTTAATCTTAACCTGTGAAACAAGTTATTGAATGTCTGTGATGAATAATGCCGCAAGGGAGCCTCTGAAATCTATGGTTTCTTTTATAATTTGGCAGTCAAATGCAAAGTTCGAGAGACATGATCGGGATTATATGCGCTACGATCTCGTTATTTCTCAAGAAACGGGATCTGAGACATTTCAGTGTTATGAAAGACATTCATTACCTCTGGCCACGACTTTTTTGCTTAACGCTTTCTTCCACATTAGTCAAAACAAGTTGGGATGTTCATGCTGTAAGCTGGAAAAGCATAGGACCTTAGCTTCGAATCTTTTGTTCGCTGACTGTTGTAAACTAGGTTTTGATCATTGTGTTGTCTGAGAGCGGTAATACTGCTCGCTCTATTGCCAAATACCGACCAATTGCGCCTGTATTGGCTGTGACCTCTTCTCCTCAAGTCGGTAAGTACATCTGTTGGTTTTCCGATTTGCAATGAAAATGATCTGCTTTGTGGTGATACCCAACAACACTCTCAATGCGTTTATCACCTAGCTCGCCAAATGCAAGTACTTCGAGGCATCTTCCCATTGGTGGTCGAAACTATGTCTGGAACAGACAATGTCATTCACCGTGCCATGCTTTGGGGCGTTAAGAAGGGAATGGCTCAACGTGGTGATCCAGTTAGTATTTCACATACTGTGCTGTTTTGTTGTCAATCACGTGAACGGCTGACTCGAGATATCAACAGGTTGTGGTCACTTCTGGTATGCTCGAACAAACAACTGGTTCGACAAATATCATGCGAGTCGTCAAGTAAGTTTAAGAACGCACAGAAAATGAATTTAATGATGTTTGTAAACAAAGTACATTTTACTTATACCAGGTGTATGTAGATGTGTCGGCTTCGAGGTTGCATAAGGTACCTTCTTGGCCCCTGTATTTTTGGAAATAGCATTTAGATGTATTTGCCCGTGTATAGAACCTGAAAAAGATTACTCATCACACTATTACTCATCACTCTTTCACGAGTGTCCCTTCCTGCAATTTTATGAACTCATCCTGAGCGAAGTTGATGTGTACGCGCCTTCGTTCTAATTGAGTTTTCGAAACCTCGATCATAACAAAACCTCTTGTTGACTCCTGGAATGAGAGCAAATTAACGGGAAACGAACCCTTGTTTTTAAACAGAGATTTGCCCATTCTATAAATACTTGGCATAAAAGTCTACGGTTTTGGCATTCCGATCAGATTTTTTCAGTTGAGGGAATTGAACATGTTTGGATTTCCCTCCTTGTCGAGAGAGTACCTACAGCGATATAGACAATTAGCTTCGCAAAACCAAGATTGGCAATATATCGAAAATCTACATACCGTATCATCATGCAAGAAGGGAAGTGGTCGAGCCAACATCGGATCAAGAGATATAGTGGTTCGTGGTTCAACAGGCCCCAAGATATCACTAGCATCGATTTCTGCGGCAATGTACTGATACTGACACAGTTCGTAAGCTGCAAGATCCTCAAAGTCTGGTTCTAATTCATGATGCTCCTCTGATTTCAGACGCCAGAACTAATATGACAGAGGAATTACTAGAAGTCGATCGGGCCGTTTGAGTGTTTCAAATCGTTAGTCTCTGTTACCTTATCAATCACTCTAGTAATATCCTTAGCTTTTACGACTGATTCTTTCCTCACAAACTGCGACAGACTCTCTTGTATTTCTTTGCGAATGGATACTGATGTTGGATAGTCATTTGGCTCAATCTTTTGCAGAGAGTCGTTATAATTAGATGCTGATGTGGCGCTCTCCTCAGAGCTAGACAAGAATTCATTTGAGACGGCCGATGATGATGCAGTTTCCTTGGAAGGATGGTCTGTTGAGGTAATCACAGGATCGCCCTCTACTTGATACGTGGGCGATGATGGCAATAGCAAGTTCTTTTGTATGGCTTGAGATACAAGTAAAGTAATAGCACGATCGAGATGAGTGAGTCGGCTATCCGTCTTGAGCCAACATTCCAATTCAGATGGTAGTGGTAACTCAACAGTAAAGGGATCAGACTTCCGGATCTACCAAGGAAATAGGCACGACTGTCAGTCTGACTTCCTGCGGTGCTGCAATGTCAAGAGCTTTCATACCGTTAGTAGCCTCTCATTCTCCAAAACGTCCTTGGCACGTTCAGAGAGAGATATTCTTACACCGACGCCTATTAAAAATGACTTCAAAAGTCGAGCCAAAAAAACTACGAAAGAGACCGACATACCATGTATTGGAATAGACATTTTCCCCTCTTTCGTAAGGAGCTGAATAGCACATTGAAAACTTCCAACCGTCTTGGCAGTTATTCCATAGATGGTTCGAGCACGATGACCTGCTTTCACAAGTACGACTTCAGGGCATGACACGTCACAGGCTTGAGCAGATCCCATCTTGGAATGAATAGCCAATGACGCTTCACCCACATTGGTGAATGTAATTTCTCGATGGACAACTTGGTCATATGGGCATCGACCTAGTGCAGAAACATACGAAGTGACGTTAAATGGAGAAATCCGCTGAAAAACACTTAGAATTGGTCCTTACCGAGATTTATAACAGACGGTGAGATATCTAGCTTCATCAACCCTCCAACACCAATCAAAACCACTTCCTTATAATTAATACCAGCACATTTGACCATAAAGCTGCTTCCAACGCGACCAGGACCTTGTGGTTTGAACTCAACGTCCACCATAATCGACTTTTTTGGTAGCACACACGCACTGCTTAGAGAAACAGAATATGCGGAGTCTCGAATAGGTGGGATATTAAATGTAAATCCGACTTTACCCTTATTACTGATTTCAAGAGACTCTCGATACATTGTCCCCACAGCACCTACTCCAAAATCCACGTATGTGGTTGACAGGAATAATTCTGGTAGTGCAGCTTTACCACGTACACTAACTCCAAATGACACAATGTTGGTTTCAATTTGTAATTGTGTTCGTAATTCATATCCACCAGATGGACACCACGATACTGCAACTTCAGCTGTGTCGCTGCCATTCACAGTTCCACTAGTCGGTGATGCTTTTAACGGATAGGAGGTCCTGATCGTATACTGTAAGGGGAATCGTCCATAATTCGTAAAGGACAGTATTCTAGCGGTGGTTCCTAATGCTGCACAAGTACCCATATTCAATAGAGCAAACTCTTCTGGCTTTAACACTGCTTCTTCACATTGTCCCTTCACTTTGAGATAATCAGGTTTATCAATCAAATCAGTCCTGACCATCAATTGTTCAGCAAATCATCCCACTCGATGACGAGTGTGAGTCACTTGCACTTCTGCTGATTTACCGGTTGCCAAAATTCCTTTCCCACCTGTAATATGGAACATGGATGGTTTGGTAACATCTCGAACACTATACGATGTTCGCACACTACCCGTATTTCGTAGTGTAAAGCTGATGGTTGGCGATGTGGTCTTTTCAAACATGCCGTAATCAAGTTCACGACTACTCAATTCGACCATGACGGTTCCAGCATGTAAGCTCAAGGGCACTTTATGAGTAGAATACGGGGAGGAGACAATCATGTTCACAGTCTGCCTTGTCTCTCGTGAAGGGGTATAGACTACACCGGCATGACTATCTGAGAATGGATGCAATACGAATGATGGCGGGTTGAATTCTATGTCGGGGAAGTTCGTCTCGAGCTTGAATGAGACCGGATAATTGACGTCTCCTACATTCTTGAGAGCTAGTTTCTGTTCATATGAATTACCAACCAGGGCTTCAGAGAACTCGAGCGCCGTTTTAAATATGATAAGTACTGCTTCGCGACCTTGACCAACAAGTTCAACATCCCAAACTTCAGTAATCATTCCAACAACTAAGTGTCCAGGTGGTGGTGACTCTTCCGATGGTGTAAACACAATGGCTATATTCAAGGTCTTTCCAGGGAATAGCGACACCCTAACAACAAAGAATGAAGTATGAGACTTCAATCACATCGCCTTGAAACAGGCCGTAAAACACACTTTGAGGTCGGCCAGTCCTTTCCGCGACTAAACGTATCGTTGTCAAGTAACTCAAAGTGAGTCAGGTGAAAATGGCGTTACCCTCATTAGTGATGGGCAGATATGAGACCGTCATTTTACCAATCATACAATGTCCGAAATCAAATTGACGGAATCTGGCTAAAGAAGTTCTAGCAACCCCACCACCACCTGACGATTTGCGTCGGATAGGCTGAGAGCAATCAGGTTCAAATATGACATCACCTGTTTGTATAACTTCTTCAGCTGCTTTAAAGGTAAAGTCAACCATTACAGATTTCCCTGCTTTCAGAGCACCACGAGTAGGCTTGACTGATAAGCTTGCAATTGGATTATGTATGACGTATGAAAAGGCTTTATGTCCCACATTCGTGTATGTTCGAGTAATATTTTTTCTTGTTGGCCCAATGGTTGACGGTAAAAGTTTAACGGGCTCGAGTCATTGCAATGTACGAGGACACTACGGGGCATAGCTGTCAAAGCAATTTCATGCAGCAATGTAGCTATGGTTGGTCGGATGTTCAATGTGGCCATAAAGCCATCTTCAGATGCCAGATTGATTTCAACGGATACCGACACTTCTCCAAAGCTAGGTAGGATTGTCGTGGCTGGTTCTGCTTTTATAAATGGTTTAACTAGTGACGCTACTTGACTGGACATGGGCTGGTTTGTTATGAGATGGAAGAACATTTGTCGTCGTCTGACAAATGCAGCTTGACTCTTCAATATTTGCTTTTTAGGTACTGATGCCGCTTTCCCACTTATACTTAAGCGACTACTAGTAACGTCGTCCCCTCCAGCAATAACAATTGATGAGCCTCGTAGTGGTAGTTCGGACAATGGACGACCATCCGTTTCTGCGCTGACATCCGCAACAGATTGCAACATTCCTGGCGTTTCGGAGGAGTAAATCTGATCTTCTTCGAAGGCGTTATGCACCCGATTGATGGTGGTGCCCCATAGGCTCTGTTTACGAGTACTGACACTTTGACGGGATTGCCATGGTCGTAGTGTTTCTGGATTTTCTAGCCTACACACCATCTTTCGAATGAGACCCTAATGATCATTGCTTGACATGTTATATCTGGCTGCATCGGTCGTAGCTACTCCTCGATCCTTCAGATACTGTGTCCGGGCCCATCCAGATCTGGAATCAGTCGATGTAAATGTCTCGGATAACGGTATAAGTGCAGCTCTAGCTTCTGCAGAATGTCCTACTATGGTCCAGTCAAGTGTAATGGGTACAGCTATTGATCCTCCGTTCCGGATTGTCAATTTACGAGTATAGGTGTAACAGCTAGAAACGTCTCCAAAGGACAGGTCTCCAACATGACTTATAGATATGGTGCCTCCTTTACCTCGTAATGCGACCACTGGATTGTTACTACTATTTTCAGACTGAATCTGAATTGTACCGTCACAGCTGATGGAACCCTAGCAGCAAATTGAGCTCCGACTTCCACACCCATACCAGGCGCCAAAATCATTCGGAATTCAGAAACCCAACTCTATGTTGATCGCTTATGCGGAGGCGGATTTTGTAGCTGACCACTTGTAAACATAGCGGCAAGGTACGGATTTCACCCTTGGGACAGCATCCAAAGTCTAGCTGAGCGGGCCAGGTTTTTATAACGGGTGCATTATATCCTCTCAGACTCAACCTGAAGAGATCATGGTGTTTTTCCAATGTTAAGTCAATGCAACACGAAAACTGACCGGTACGTATTTATTACCTGTCCATGGGAAACCCATCCCTATTCCTCACGCGCAAAAGT